CTTCATTCTTAAATCCTTCAGAACTCTTAGGGCACATCTACATGGAACACTCAGGAAACTTAAGATGAATCAACTAAAGGTGTGAAGTTAATTACCATAAATTGAAGCATGTTAATCCCTGTGTGGCTGTTCTCATTCAGGACTGAAGTAACTTTAGGTTGCTGTAACTTACTCCTTAGGCTATGTTTACACTGGCAATTGAACAACAAAACTTTCGTCTTTCAGAGGAGTTTAAAAAAAACCAACAACCTGAAAGACAAAAATGTTGCGTGACAAGTGCCGGTGTAAACAGCGTGTTGTTGGCAGGAGCGCTCTCCTGCTGACAAAGCAAATGACGCTCGCTGGGGGAAGAGCCAACAAACAGCGGCTACACTGTGCACCTTTTAGCGGCATGGCTGTAGCGACACAGCCGTGTCACTAAAAGCACTGTAGTGTAGATATAGCCGTGGTTTAATGGACTTTAATTTCTGCACACTGAACTTCACACCTTTAGTTAATTCACCTTAAATTTCCTCAGTGTCTCTCTCTAGACATAGCCTGAGGGTTAGTCTACAGAAGAGTTTTTGGTCATGCTGTAATTTGAGCTAATTGATTGCCAATTAGCACAAATTAACTGTAAATGTTAGTGTAGATATTCAGAAAAAACTTGTGAATTATAGTAGGCTTTCCACAAATGTTTGTTCCTCATTGTGGTTCACCAAGGGTGAACCACAAGCAGAAACACACATTGTAGAGGGTCTACAGTAGACTTTACAATCATGTTAAAAGAACAGGAGTACTTGTGGCACCTTAGAGACTAACAAATTTAAATCTAAGGTGCCACAAGTACTCCTGTTCTTTTTGCGGATACAGACTAACACGGCTGCTACTCTGAAAACAATCATGTTAGTTACCTTGAGTTAATTAGCAATTGCCATAGACTTCCTGTGTGACCCTGGTGAAGTAATTTAGCCTCTCTGTGCCTCAGTTCCCCATCTGTAAAATGGGGATAATAGCACTACCCACCTCACAGAGCAGTTGTAAGAATAAATACATTAAAGACTGCGAGACACTCAGATACTACGGTGATGGGGGCAGAAAAGTACTGCAAAATAGACAGAATTAGATCAAGTTACAGGACAAACACGCTAGGGTAGATATACCCTTATATTAGTACCACCAGCTCCAATGACTGTCATTATTTAATGTGTCAATTTGTTTCAGCACCAACCTTTTGCCTTTGTCTTGCTATCTGTAGGTCTTATCTGCCCAGACCTTCACAAGTTGTAATAATGTATTGTTTGTATTCCAGTAGAGCCTAGGGGCCCCAGACAAGGGTCAGGGCCTTGTTGTGCTAGGCACTATACAGAAAGAAGGATACAGACAGTCCTTGTCTCAGACAGCTTACTATCTAAGTTTATGCAGTATTGTTGTAGCCATGTGAGTCCCAGGATATTAGAGAGGCAAGGTGGGAAAGGTAATATCTTTTATTGGACCAACTTCTGTTGGTGAGAGTATGTTTCCTAGACCTGAAGAAGAGCTCTGTGTGAGCTCAAAAGCTTGTGCCTCTCCCCAACACAAGTTAGTCCAATAAAAGCTATTACCTCACCCACCTTCTCTCTTTACATTTCTAATAGGATTCAACAAGTGGACAAAAACAGACCAATGGGGAGGATGAGATAACAGCAGAATGAACTTGGTGCACATCATGAGTAGTCTCAGTTTAAAAAAAAAATGTCTAGAGCATACTGCTTGCCTGCAACCTGCTACCCAACAGTTAATCCTGAACCTGAGATACCTAGTAGTCATTGCCCTAATCCTGAATTTACTCTAAATGAGATTTTTTTTGGAGCTCTAAGACTAGGATTCCTGAGGGGATGCCTTTCTGCTATTTAGTGGTCCCTTACTCACTCCATTTAAATATCTTCTACCTCTAAGAAGTGTAAAGGGTGTGGATCTTTTCTTGTTGTCTTTGTGTCCATTTAGTCCCCATAAATCCAAGACATTCTTTTAGAAATCAATGATCCTAATACTTTTCCAGGCAATTGTATCCATTTACCAAGCTAACAGTTGGGGGATCCACCACTCTCCTAATCATGCAACGCTGGTATTTAGAGCAGAGGCTGTGACTTGTTTCCCTGGGTGATTTCAAATATCCTTGATATGGATAGAATCAGCTCAAATCCCATACCCTGTTGAAGTAGCAATAATTTTATTTATAAAGCACCCTTTTACTTTCTGAGCTGCTCAGGCTGAACAACAATAATTAAGACATCATAAAATACACACTATCAAGAACCAAACAAACCAGATTCACTAGTGAAGGTGGAAGCTGAAGAGAGTCCTATACCTGGGCCACGCATAATGAAAACTAAACACATCTCTCAAAGAGAAGTGTTTTGAAACAACGTATAGAAGTGGAGAAGAATGAGCTGAGTTGCATGCTCTGGAGCTGGATCCTCAGTCTCTGGGTCACCATAAAGCTCCATCGAGTCATCCTATTGCACAACAAAAGCGAATACAGCTCTGTTGAACACAGGAAGCCTACAGATTTATTATTTAGCCTATGAATCCATGTCTCACTGCAACCCTCTACTGACAGGTCAACTGCCAGATCATTTAGCAGATTCTTGCCCTTTTGGAGAAGGTCATCGTTGCAGTATCTCATTTCAAGATTCAATCTAAAATGAATAATTACTCTGGATCCTCTGCCGTGTATGATTTTATTTTGTTAAATAAAAAAAACATTACATTCATTATCGTACATGTTACAGAGACAAAAGGTGGTCAAGGACAGAGTTTAAAATTAATATATGGATGAAATAGCCCTTGTCTCTGATCTAATGACCTTTCAGTTTTCATAATATGTGAAAGAGCCAAACACCTTCTCATTTTAAGATGAGGAAACTCCTGAGTCCCTGGAAAACTACATTTCTAGAAAATTACCTGATGGCCATATTGTGGGCTGCTGTTCCCAAAGCTCTTCTACCCAGAATACACAGGGCAAAGGAGAGAGTTACTAAAGGAGAATCCTCATCACTATCCAGATGCTGCAAAGGTTTAAGGACAGTGTGTTAGTTCTACATGCAACCTTATAAAAAAGTGTTATGACAATCCTATAACTAAAATAGATCAATGCATGACTAAATTCATAAGACTTATGCTGTCATGTAACTATACCCAAACAAAGCACTCTGCTGTGCAATTAAACAGAATAGGAAGGATGATCATCATGACCGAGGGTCTGCTGCTAAACAAATGAAAGCTCATTTAGCGTAACAGCTGGAAACAAGAAGTTTTAATATGAGTTGGATCCCAGGGTTTGTGTTTTAGTGATCAGAGTCTTGGAAAGAGGTTGATGAGCATCACTGAGGAGGGAATACATCTGTTTCCACATGGGAAACAGGATGTGTCTGAAATCCATACTCTGTGTTCAGCTCTTAGAAGCACAATTTGGCTCTGAGAAGATCTGCAAGATTAGGCTTCTAGTGATTGACATCATCAGTTCTATCAATGATGACAATGCCATCACATTTTGACAAGTGGTCAAACCATTTCCTTTACATTCACCACCTCAGCAGACCCTTTTCTACAACTCTTCCAAAAAGCTTGATGTCAAACACGAGGGAAATTACATAACGGGAGTTCAAAATTTTGTTCTGTTTCAGCCCATACATTGATGAATTCTTCTTGTTGCCCTTACCTTGTTCCTGAAACTGAGGCAAACATTTTGCAACTCCCTCTATAAAGTACACCAATCTTCAGAGCTGTGCAGTGCAACTCTATTTTATACAGCATCTTCCACACAAACTGTTTCACAACATGTTTCATAGTATTAAAAAATACAAGAGAGATGCAAATTGCAGAGAACAGTTGTGTAGAGACATTTGTTAGGGTTTCCAAGGCCACCGAGAGGATCTGGATGCCCAGGTCCCATGAACTTCAATGGAAACTGCATTATAAATCCATAAGTTTTGAAAATCTCAACAACAGTATGAAAAAATAATTAAAGCACTTAACAATAAGGGAGGGAGAAACAAGTTAAGATGGAGAGCAGAAATATTCCAAGATTTAAATATTTAAAGAGGGGTGGAGTATTGATAAAGCAGAGAAATCCAGGAAAGTTGTTCCAGATGTCAAGAACTAGAGGAGAACGTCCTTGCATTACAAAAGGGAGAGGAGGCAGGGTCAAAGGGCCCAACCTTGTGAAGGACTGAGCATCTCTCTTGGAGGTGATGAATGTCCCTTCAACTCAAGAGCTCAGCACCTCCCAACAGATGCTCAGCACTTGGCAGTGTAGGCGCTAAATAAGTGGAGAAAGCAGACAGAAGAGTAGAGAAAGAAATAAGTTCTGTGAGAGAGAGTACAGAAAGTCCAGGTAGAGATTTAAAAATAATAGTCAAGGTGAAAGCAGAAGCAGATGAAGTCACAGGGGAGATATTCAATGGAACTGGAATCAAAGTAGTAGCTAGATGGGAAATTGTGTGGAAGCAGTGATAGGTAGGTTTATACACATGACAGACAGGAGAAGGAGTATTATGAATCAAGGAAGCTGCCAAGCTTCTGGACAGTGGCAGCAATGGAATGTGAAAATCAACAATCCCAAGTGCACAAATAATATGATGTGATGGGTAAAAAAACTGTGTTGGTGATTTATTTGCACTGTCATCAATAATCTGAGTATACTCAATAAAATGTGCATGTCTCTGACTCTATTTTACTCTGTGTGCTGTCAACAGAATCCCACTGAAATATAACGATGCATTTTAGTCGGGAAGGGCTGAACATCCATTATCTCAGGGCTCAGAATGTATGAACAGGTAACTGTAAGCTCCCACTTGGCTCTCTAGAGTTGAATGGTAATTTTCCACAGTTTTGCAATAAAGTGTCAGATTTGTACCAGGACTTCTCAGATTTGACCTGTGCTCTTGGATAAGTGGTATACTTCCTCAACAGTGGAAGGTTTTACCATGTGTCACTGGAAGGGTAATTTTTTCTAAATTTGCAATCATATTTTGCATTGGACATAAAACACTGAAGTTCTGATAATTAGGGCATTCTGATCCTATCGCTGGTATTCCTTGATTGGGAATCTCCCTCACGAAGAGCAATAATATTTTCTGAAAAGTTCTAAATGCAGGGTTACTTCAGAGAACAAAACTAATGATGGTAGGGGAAGCATATTCAAAGAAAACTGTTCAAAATTCAAAGGTTCACTCCTTTGGAATGTTTTTTACTCATATTTTCATTATAATATTCTCTATAAACATTTTTCTATTGTACAAAAACATACATTTCCCCACAGTGTTATGTTGTACAGTTTAGATAGAAATTAATATACTTGTATTATTCTTGAGTCAACAAAAGAGTAACTATTCAGTAATTCAATGTTCTAGGTGTTAAAGACATACACTTACCTCCCTTCTTTTTCCAGCACAGTACTGAATCCAGTCAAGATAAACACTGCAGAAGCTAGCTCTGGTTATTCCTTGAAGACATGGAACATAGTCCTCATCAATGTTAATGTTGAACATTGCAAGGTCACGTTCAATGTAATGCCATTTGGCATAAGGCTGTAGTGTCTTCTGGATTGATTCATCTTTTATCCAGTGTGAGATTTTGGGTGAATTTGCTGTGAAGTATATTATACTCTGTTGACAAAATGCAAAGTGGTTAGTCATTGTACCTGTGTTTAAACCAGAAACAGCTCATTTACAACACAGAAGAGAACAAATCAGAATAAGAAGATGACACTGACTATCCATAATCTTATGTAATATTCCTGCTACTTGCCATCATTGATTCATAAGAGTATTTATTTTGTGTGATCGTAATAATTTATGTCTAAATGAGAAAGAAGTCAGTTAACTACTAACAGAATTTAAATGAATGAAACTTAAAAAGAATATTAATGACAAGCATCATACTCTGAATAGTGTAGATAGTGTCAAGGGTAAGTTAATTTGAAAAAGTGGCTGTGTCTATAGTATCAGAGGGGTAGCCATGTTAGTCTGAATCTGTAAAAAGCAACAGAAGGGATCTTGCATCTGAAGAAGTGAGGTTCTTACCCACGAAAGCTTATGCTCCCAATACTTCTGTTAGTCTCAAAGGTGCCACAGGACCCTCTGTGTCTATAGTGTATACCATAAAGGATGATGATGATGATAAAAGCTTATACGTATTTTTCAAAAACAATATGCAGTTTTATATGGTCAGAAATGTTTGCTTTTTCCCATGTGAACTTTCAGCTTTCTGAGGGTGCAGTTTCCCCATTTCTTCGACAAGAACACATCCATCAATTTAACTATTAAATAAGAACTTGCAAGAGTGTAGAATATAGCTCTGAAAACCCCTCTTTTAATTGCTATCTTCCCTCTGCAATAATAATTTTGTTTTTGTTGCCTATTGGATGAGGTTAGTATAATAAGAAGAAAAATGGGATCTCTTTAATACTTATGCTTAACACAAGAGCTGACTGGTGGACAATTCCATTTCATGGCACATTTAGAGGTTTCAAAATTTGTTTTTGTTTCATAGTGGAACAATGGATGAAGTTTTCTAAGAAATCTGGTGCAATGTAAATGGCATTTCAACTTTGCCAAACCTATAGTTAAATCAAAGCAAAATATTGAACAGATTCTAACACCTGCCAAATGATAGGCTGTGAACACCACAGAACCTGTGGCCTACTGGAAACACAATCACTCACATACCTCACTATTGCATATCTTTTAGTCCTGCTACATGCTAGCTCCCATGTGAACACCCATATGTTGGATGCTCTAAACTACCTAATTACCTTTCTGTTAAACTCTGCCTCCTCTGACATTTTCTGATGACCTCATATTATCAACTCCTACATTCTTCTATAGTTTAGCTGATTTTAAAAGAGCTAAAGAAAAAAATTCAACTTGCCAAATACAGCTGTTCAGTACTTTAAAACTAATGAACCAATTTGAGTCTAACTAGGCTTGTTTTACAGATTTCATTGACCCTTAAAAGTTAAGCCAAGCATGAAGATTCTAATGTACTGAGAGTTGCACACAAGTTTAAGCTTAGGTATGATTTTAAACTGATATAGTTAAACTGGTGCAAATGGCTATGCAGACACTCTTATTTCAGTTTAAACAAGGCATATTTCAGTTTAGCTTAAATCAGTTAGGAACAGCTTTAAACTAACCATTTTTAACTTGAAATATGAGTGTTTGTTTAGTTAAATCAGTGCAAGATTATATGTGGACAAGGCCTTACTGTGTATAAAATTGTTTCAGAAATTCCCATTTGTGTTTTATATAAAAGTCAAAATAAATGAACAAAGTGATTCAGTAGTCTTGATTCTTACTGTATTGTTCATTTACCTAACAAATCACACACTTCACTAATTTACAATGTGTCTCCCAATCAGTGCAAATTAGCAAAGTTCTGCTGTAAACCCTGCTATTTAAAATGTAATACTTCTTATAGATAAACTTCATTCTCTATCTTTTCAAGACTGCAAATTTCCTACTTAGGAAGGGTACATAGAACTCACTTCACTTATACTGTACCTTTATGTAATATCTGATGAGTATTCTTCGCAGATCAAACACTTGCAGCATTGTGGCGGCATTGTTATCAATGATGCTATATCCTTCCAGTATATACTGGGTTCGTGTTATTTCCCATGTCAGCCATCGGAGGTTAAAGGCTGCGTTGCATGATAGCAAGTGAGGCAAGTGACCTGGCTGACAGCAGCAGCAGCCTTCATTGTCTTCATCTCCTTCTGTTATAGCTTCCACTTCTCTCTGCTGGCAATATGTCCCTTGATAGTTAGAAAGGATAACACAATGGCAGTTATAAAAGTGTAACCAAATACTTCAAGCACTTAATTAAAGGCAAATAAAAAAGAGCTACAACAATGAATTAAATTTGCCAATTGATCTGTGTAAAGCAGAGAATAATGAGGGATACATCATTTATTTAATACTTCAATCCAAAAAGCTCAATCTCATGGTCTCGGCATCCTGGCATGATTACACATATCGGAGTACACAACCTCCCCTAATAAAAACTCACCAGAAAACAGCAATAAAGACTTAGGATACATCTAACTTATCTAAGCATTCAAATACTGCATCTTGGCAGGGGGTTAGACTGGCACCAGGCATGTTAACAAACCCCTCTCAGTCCTCAACCCACTTCTCCCAAAATGCACAGAAGACAAACATAGATTTTGCAGTATGTCACAAGCAGAGGTTGGTGAATAATTGATTTTGTTGGGTCAACCAGCAAACTGAATCCACATCTCCCACCTCCCAGGTGAGTGTCTTAATCACCAGGCGAGAGTCATTCCCACTCTCTCCCCCTTTGACCCAATAAATATTTAGGAATTAATACAAAGTGGAAATTGAGATTCATCCACCCCACAATAACCTGTAGCCTGGTGATTTGGATGCTCACCTGGGAGGGGGGGAGATCTGAATTCAAGTTTCTGCTCCATAGTGTGGGTTCAAACCTGAGTCTCCTACATCCTACGCAAGGCACATCTAAGCACTGGACTAAAGGTTAAAAAGGAACAGACAGACACATGTGCTGGCCTGGAAAACTTTTCACTGGCCAAAACTAGCAGGTCAAATTCTCCAATAGTTTCCTTTTTGGTAAATAAACTAGAGGAGACTAACCAACCTGGGTTCTGGCAGGTCAGCTGGGTGGCAGATTCCAGAGAGATTGGCCAGCTAGCAGCTCCCTCTCAATTAATTCAAAGCAGCTTCAGCTTACCTGCCTCCATTGATAGCTACTGTGAGAGTAGACCATGAGGAGAGAAGTAGGCTGTTACCTATGGTCTTGAAGTCTTTAAAAAAAGATTGGATATAATTTTTAGAAAGATATGCTCTGGCTCATCCAGAAGTAATGGGCTTGATGCAGGAAACACTTGATGACATTCTAAGCCTCATTTTATGAAGGAGGTCAGAGTAGATTATCATAACAGTTCCCTCCAGTCTTAAAATCCATTCATCTTGTCCCAAACAAGTTAAAGCACTAAAAATCAAACCCAAAACATTGAACGGCACCAGGAAACCCATAGGCAACCAGTGCAGCTCAAAGAACATCTGTGTTATGTACTATTGATGCATGGCTTGGTTTAGTGAGCACATTTACCCATGTTATGGACCATTACAAAACCCATGCGACCACATAAGTCCAACATAAGCCCTTTTCTGAGGCCATAAGTCAGCTTTAAGTGGTGTATAAATCTTGAATGGACCCTTTGCAAATGGTGAATTTCACTCAGTAAGAGAGTGGTTGAATTCAGCTTTCAACTGATCTCAATAGTAGAGAAATTTGCTGGAGATGTCATTCATCAGAGAGAAGATCTACTCAGTTAAATTTTACCTGACCAAACAGGACACTGGCCACACAACACTTTGGATCTGAAACAAAGGTGACCATGTTTACAGGCAGTTTCTCGTTTGCTGTTTACTATTTCTATTACAAGATCATCATCATTTTCTTTAGCTTAATCACTTGCTGATTTGCTTTTGCATCTCCATCATCATTTAGCTTTAATTTTGATGGGCACAGCGACATAGACTGTTGCTCTTCACATGCCAGCAAGTACATCCCAGATGAAGCACAATGTTTCTATAGTTAAAAAATAGAACAAAAACTCACTAGTTCAAAAAAGACTTTGGGCTTTTTCTTTTGGGTAGCATTGGTTAAAAATGATTTCTGCAACTCCTAATGAGAATGTGATTGCTTTAGATCACATAAACAAAAAGTAGAACTACCACACAATACCACAAAATTAGGTAAAATTCCCCTTGAGGATTTATTATGGGCCAACTTCCCTTCTCATCTATGCAAATGAACACACTGAAGTCAATTGTGTTGCACCCATGTAACAGAGAAGAATTTGGCTATATCAGTGTTTAATAATTAGCATTGTTATTTAGACTGAGGTAACACCCAGAGTGTGTTCAGTGCTTTCTAAACACAGATGAAGATATAGGGTGAAATCCTGGCCCCAATGACGCTAACAGCAAAACATTTCATAATATATTGCTATCTAAATTTATTTACGTTCCCCTCCATATACACCCCAAGATCTAATAATCCAGTTAGCAAAAGTATCTAGAAAGTAAGGCGGTAGAGGGGAGAGGGGGGAAACCGAATGCTTTTTAAAGATAAATAATAAGATTAGCAAATATTTGTCTGTCTTTTTTTTGCAGCACTGAAAATAATAAAAAAAAATGATTTTTTTTAAAGTTTTCCAATTAGCTTTCGTTAAACGAAAGCTACTAATGTATGCAACCTGAGGGTATTCTAGAGTAGTTCACACACAAATAAGCATTACTATTTGGACAATTTAAGTAGTACAGGTACATACAATAAAACAGATTAATATACCCCCTCAGATAGCCCTAAAATAAACATCTCTCTTTTCCAGTCTACTGCAAAGTATAAACCATGACCTACCAGTGTGACATTTACAGCAGGACAGATACAAAGAGAGCTGTTTCTACTTTACATTTCACAGTTTTCTACATGAATTAAGGTTTAACGTTCAACTATAAAAAAAGGCAGCAACTGCTCTTGGTCAATGGATCTTTTTCTTAAATAAAGTCAAAAGACATTGTACTCAAAGTAAACTGGGCAAAGAAATAGTCCTATGCACATGGCTTATATATTTTGGCTGCTAAAGAAAAATACAATATTTGCATTTTTTCATTTTTGTTTCTGTTTTTAGCTTTTTGAAAAGTTAGACCTCAAAATATTAAACTGGAATTAACAAAACATAAATCTCCATCCTAGACCTTAATGTAAACAATACTACATAAAGCTGATATTATGCTATTGTTGATGTAAAATGAAAGCAAAATAAACAGCCCTAAGTTTGGCTGAGTTGATTTGTATCAAGAAGAGTCTTGCTGTTGTTTTCATACTTTTATGCAAGCAGCACATACATGGCAATCCTCACCATTAATTAAACCAATATACAATATAATCACTGTGCTATCATGGAACAGGAGGTGCTCCAAAAGGCAGGAATTATAACCAAAAAGGTAGTACCCATATTTTGTGAAGTTAAGGGCCATACTGACAACTTGCCAGGAGCCCAAAGACTCGTGCTAATGTGCATAAAATAAGGCAGATTGTGGACACCACCATCTTTAAACTATCTGTGAAGTTCAACCTGTGAAAACTACAGATCCCAGCATGGAGCATCCCTCCACAGATGGAGGCAAGCAGGCCATGTTGCAGAAAACTGTGTGCTGAACTCTGGCCACCCCGACTGATAGCAATATGCACTTTTGTTAGCATTTGGACTTTGAAAGGAAAAGACATTCTAAATGTGAAAACATTTTCTTACAAAGAGTCAGGGAACAAACCAAGCAGTCCAATTGGTTACTTTGCAGATTTAGCCTGAGAAACAAATAGCAAGTATTTTTGAACAGGAAGTCCCATTTGAGATTAGTGCCAATTTCTAATCACAGTATTTACACTTGCTTTCAGCAGGTTTCAGATTTATCATCTTGAAGGGGGCACTGACTTTCAGATGACAGGCTAGAGTGTTTTATGTATGGGAAACAAGATTTATTTACTAAGGAGTAAATCTTGTCCTTCCTCCAAAGAGGGGTCCTGACCTAGCAGAATCAGTCAGTATTGTCAACCCCAAGCATTCAAAAATCTGAGCCAAGAATTATTCATAAAACTGAAGAGCAGTGGAGCAGAAAATGCATTAATTTATGCAATAATTAAGTGTGCCACTATTAAATATTAAAATACAGGAGAATATTTTTACTGGTAATTATTGATTTTAAAATCCAAGGGAAAAAATCTTTTACATTTTATAAAGAGACTAAATTCTATTACTTTTCACACTACATTCATCATTTGCTGTGACACTTGCTAGTATAGATGAGACAGATTCATTTACAAGATATCCACACTGGATGATTGCTAAAAATCTCCTGTTAATGTAAAAATGTGAGCCAGCTCAGTGAAGCAAGGTCAATCTATTTGAGCCCAGGAGAAAACCAATGTAAGAACTGGACCTCTCTCTTTTCCTGACACATCAGGATTTAAAAACTCACTTGCACTCTGCCAGAATTACCTGACCTAAATGAAAGTCAGGAAATTGAAACTCATGACTCTAATCTGACTCAATAGGATATACAAACTGACCCCATTTGACCACCATCCATCCAGCAAAAAACATTTCACTGTTGCAAAAATAATGGATGAAATAAAATATGCTTTTGATTTTCAACTTGCAAACATGCTGAGTAGAGGGAAAAACCTTTTTAATTTTTTGCAGGGAAATACATCAAATACGTTAACACTATTAATGATCTGGAGTGTGGCGTGGACTGCACCCAGGGCCGGTGCTACCATTTAGGCAAACTAGGCGGTTGCCTATGGCGCCAAGATTTGGGGGCGCCAAAAAGCAGTGCCCCCAATTTTTTTTTACAGAGTTCCTACGCCCCCTCCCCGAGCGTGAGGTCGCCGCTCTACTTCTCCCGCCTCCCAGGCTTGCAGCGCCAATCAGCTGTTTGGCGCCGCAAGCCTGGGAGGGGAGGAGAATTAGAGCGGGGGTGGCGTGCTCGGGGAGGAGGCGGAGCAGTGGTGAGCTGGGGTGAGGAGCTGCCGCACGGCTCCCTGGGGGGGGAAGCTGCCACGGGGGGGACGCCTCAGGGCAGAGGGAGGGAGCTGCCGTGGGGGGGGGCGAGCTGCTGCAGGGCTGGGGGGAGGGGGCGCAAGGTGAAAGTTTCGCCTAGGGCGTGAAACTTCCTTGCACCGGCCCTGACTGCACCCTCAGCA